GCTGGGCGCCCCCTGGTCGTGCAGCCTCGGGTTCGGCCAGCACGTTGCTGGTCCATGCGAGAGCGTCGGCGGTGGCCGCCAACGACGTGGCGCTGGGCCCCTTTTTCGCCGAGCCACGGCACGGCACCTCGGCGGGAGGGCGCGGTGCCGCCACGGAGGCAGCAACGGGGCTAGCATTTGAAGGTGGGCGTGCCCCTCTGCAGAAGAACAGTCAAAGACAGCGGAAAAATCGCCTGGGGGCGATTCTGGATGATTTTCGATTCTTCTTTGGGGTATGTTTGGGGTATGTTTCATGTTTCGTTCAGAATCAGCCTGTAGGAGGACTTGCCCGACCTGAGGCTAGTATTCAGTCGGGCGTGTCCCTCTACAGGAGAAATATGCAAAGATAGTGAAAAAATAGCCAGGTGGCGATTTTTGAATATGTTTGACAAGTTTGTTGTATGGTTTGAGTTGTTGTTTTATTTTTTGTCCAAAATCCGCCTGTAGGAGGACATGCCCGACCTAATAAGGTTAGCATATAATCGGGCATGCCCCCCTACAGGAGGAATAGTCAAAGATAGTGAAGAAATAGCCGGGTGACGATGTTTGATTGCTTTTGACCATATCGGTGTATGGTTTGGGTATTATTTATTTGTTCATCCAAAGTCCGCCCGTAGGAAGACTTGCCCGACCTAAGGTTAACATTAAGTCGGCCATGCCCCTCTACATCACGAATATTCCCCAAATAATGAACAACATCGGGGGACGATGTTTCGCGATGTTTGACCATTTTGGTGTATGCTTTAGGTCTTACAATTTGTCGCCCAAAATCCGCCTGTATGAGGACTTGCCCGACCTAAGGTTCGCATTCTGTCGGGCATGTCCCTCTACAGGAGGAAGGTCCCCAAACTAGCGGAAAACATATCAGAGGATCTTTTTTAAATGTTTGTTTGATGTGTTGTTGGGGTATGTTTTTGGTACTTCTCATTTGTCGTTAAGAATCCGCATGTAGGAGGATTTACCCGACCTAAGGTTAGCATTCCGTCGGGCATGCCCCTCTACAGAAGGAATACTCAAAGATAGCGAACAAATAGTCAGGGGACGATTTCTGACTATTTTTGGCCATTTTGGGGTAGGTTTTGAATGTGTTGTATTTTTCGTCCAAAATCAGCCCGTAGGAAGACTTACCCGACCTAAGGTTAGCATTAAGTCGGGCATGTCCCTCTACAGGAGGAACATTCTCAAACTAGTGAACCTTGTCAGGCGATGATCTTTCAGGTTTTCGACAATTTTGGAGCATGCGTTGGGTATGTATTATTCTTCGTCCAAAATCCGCCTGTAGGAGGACTTGCCCGACCCAAGATTAGCATTCAGTCGGGCATGGCCCTCCACAGGAGGAATAGCCAAAGAAAGTGAAACAAATAGTCTGAGGGACTATTTTTGATTATATTTGACAATAGAATTCGCTTTAGGAGGACTTGCCCGACCTAAGGTTAGCATTAAGTCGGGCATGTCCCTCTACATGAGGAATATTCCCAACATCGTGAAAACAATAGCCGGGGGACGGTTTGTTGATTTTTGACAAGTTCGGAGTATGTTTTGGGTATTTCTTATTTGTCATCCAAAATCCGCCTGTAGGAGGATTTGTCCGACCTAAGGTTCGCATTCAGTCGGGCATGCCCCTCTACAGGAGGAATAATCAAAGGTACTGAAAACATAGCCTGGGGACGATTTTGTTTGACCATTTTGGTGTATGTTCTGGATATGTTTCATTTTTCGTCCAAAATCCGCCTGTAGGAGGACTTGCCCAACCTAGGTTAGCATTGAATCGGGCATGTCCCTCTACAGGAGGAGCATTCCCAAAATAGTGAAAATATCAGGGGACGTTTTTTTGGATTTTACTATTTTAGGGTATGTTTTGGGTGTTTCTTGTTTTTCGCAGAGAATCCGCCTGTAGGAGGGCTTGCCCAAGCTAAGGTCAGCATTCAGTCGGACATGTCTTTCTACAGGAGGAATATTCAGAGATAGTGAAAAATAGCCTGGGGACGATGCTTGACTATGTTTGACCATTATGTATGTTTTGAGTATGTTTCATCTTTCGTCCAAAACCCGCCTGTAGGAGGACTTGCCCGACCCAAGGTTAGCATTCAGTCGGGCATGTCCCTCTACAGGAGGAATTTTCCCCAAATAGTGAAACATTTGTATCGGGACGATTTTTTAAACTGTTAGTGAGCATTTGGTGAATCTCTGTTTTGAGTGTATTTTCTTGTTCGTCCAGGATTACCCTGTAGGGGGACAGGCCCGACCTGAGGTTAGCAGGAGAGGTCACTCCGGTTGCAAGACACAGATACTCTATCAACGGCACCGTAACGGGTACTTACTAACGGGTACTTTGCAATTTTGCCGAAAGTTGCCATTTTAGGGACTCTTTCTGGCAATGCAGCGTTGCCCGCATCGGGAAGGGTTGGATTCGCTGGGTCACTGGCCAAAGTACCCGTTAGTGGAGTCCCCGTTTGTGGGGCGCTGACTCTATCAGAGTGGAGGGGCCGAACGTTCAGTCACTGGCCCCGGGTGCGTGACCCGAGCTGGGCTCCGTGGTGCGGATAGTTGTTGCGCTGTCTCGTTGTTGTTGCGCTGTCGTTGTGCTGTTGTTTATGCTGTCCGCAACTGCGGGGTGCTGCGTGTGAGGCGCTCCGAAAACGGCCTCGCCTTCGGGGGTCGAAGGATGAAGGGGCCCTGGGACACACAAATAAAGACACACAAATAAACATGCTCCCCATATTTTCCCATATTTTCTTGGTTTCTGTCCTCCCCACCACTTCCCACATTTTCCCATATCTTCTGGGGAGTCGACGATTCATTGTGTCTGTGTGTGTTTTCCCTCCTGAAAGGAGTCGGCACCGCTGCCTCGGCGGAGGGCCGGCGGCTTTCGCCGGAGTGACCTTTGGTGCGGGCCCAGTGGGGCCCCCCAATCGCCGAACGCGAGGCGATAGTGGCGTCTTGCGCGCCTGAGTTTGGCCCCCCCTGCGGCCCCCAGAAAGCCGCGCACCAGAGGTCACTCTCAACCAGGGTCGCTCCTGCGTGTGCCCCGAGTACGTCGAGGCGGCCGCTGCCGCCGGCGGGAGTTGGCGGAAGTGAGGAGGTGCCTCCCAAGAGGTGGCAAGGTGTTTCGGTGTAGGGTTTGCGGAACCGTTTCCTGACATGAACGGGAAGCGCGAGGAAGGGAAGAGTTGCGCAAAAATTTGCAGCATCATCGCGATCACATGTAATGTAGGCGAGCTCTCCGAACGCTCGCAAAGGATACGTATGGACACGCGCCCCCCGAACGTTCACAGGCATCTTCCTGGTTATCCTCCTCACTCCTCCGCATGAGGACGACGACGACGGCGAAAACGACGACCGTGGTAGTTTGCGGAATCCGCCATCTGTCATTGGTTGGGGTCATTTTTGGATGTATGGATACCAGGATGGAGACACCCGATGCCGACGGCAGCCACTCCAACCCAGAGCATGTGCAAGCGGAAGCGAGGAAGGGATGGCGGCACACAGTGAGCGGCAAGCCGATTCGGATGAGTTGGCCCGAAGGCGCTTCGAAGTGAATGATCCGACAGCTGAAACTGAAGCCAGAGCTGAAGTGCAGCAGTAGCCAGAAGAAGGGGAGAGTCGGAGGGGCGAGCAATCTGCATGGGAAGTATTGGCCCGCCTCCAAACGAGGGGGCTTGCGGATCATGGCATTATGCACAGCTGCGCTCTGCCTCCTCAACGAGAACGGCCGCCGCTTGGTTAAAGGACGTTGCCCCCCTGTCTCGCCCTATTCTTCGGTGGCAAATGATGGGAACATTGTACAGTCTTGATTCCGTCGGTAGCGTCGACGGACGTCGAGTAGCGCCTGGTAATCAATGAGGTAGCGCCGATTTCAGCGCAAATTTGCGTCGGTAGCATCGATTCAGCATAGATCACCGTCGATTCGCGTCGATCAGCGTCGATTACCGTCGGCCAACAGGACGGTATGGGAGGCCCCCACGAGTTGTCGCCGAACTGCTCGCCACCCTCGCCATTGTTCCACCTCCTCGTCCGACCCCCCCCCTCCTCCCCTGTCCTGCCCCCGCACGAGGACCTGCGCATGAGTGGCGGTCTGGCCCGAGTCTTTCCACGCTTCCCTTTGCGTCCAAGCTGCTACCGCCGGCTTTGGGGGAATGGGTTCTGTGCAGAGGGGGCCTCAAACATGTGCGCAGTAGTTCGTGCAATCGTTCGGGCGGGATCGGAGGCGAAGGGGTGAGATCGCAGCAAAACGGAGAGTCCCCCACCGGGAAGTCGGTCTCGTCTTCGTGTCGTGCGCGCGGGCGAGGCGAAGCTGCGTGGGCGGGCGAGAGGAGTGCACCCTCCTCTGGCCGGGGCCGCTACCGGGCCAGAACACCGCCCCCGATGGTTGTCCGGCGGTGGCCCTGTGTGTCCCGTCGGTGTCCCAATTGCGTCCCGTGGTGGCCCGTCGGTGTCCCATTGGTGTCCCGTCGGTGTCCCGCAGTGAGATCGGTAGTGAGATCGAGAGTGAGATCGATAGTGAGATCGATAGTGGAATCGATGGTGAGATCGATTGTGAGATTGATGGTGGGATCGATAATGAGAGGGATCGTGGGATCGACTGTGAGATCGATTGTGCGATCGATAGTGGGATCGATAGTGAGAGGGGTAGTGAGATCTACAGTGACAGGCACAGTCAGATCGATAGTGAGATCGATAGTGAGATCTAAAGCCAGATCGATCGATTGTGAAACCGATTGAGAGATCGATCGTGAGATCGAAATTGAGTTGGATCGATTGAGACCGATAGGGAGATCGAAAGTGAAATCGATCGATTGTGAAACCGATTGAGAGATCGATAGTGAGATCGATAGTGAGACCGACGGAGTGAGACGTTGATTCCCCCTCCCCCCGAACCGCCTTGTCACCCGAAGGGTGGTCGTGTAGGTAAGCACGTCGTACAATATCATCACGTGGCTGCCACGCTCCATGCGCCAAAGGATGGACTATTGCATTCTTTTGCGCCCCCACTACGGAAAAAACAAGCCCTTTGTCTGGGGCCCATATCAGCAAGGTGGAGTTGACTTCCCGTTCTCCGTGAGTTGTCAGTTTTTCTTGAAGGCCCTTGCTCCCTCCTATGTGTTCGAGTCCCAGCGGCAGTGAGTCAATGTCGTGATCGCGCCGGGGGCGTCGACCTCCCTAAGAGCAACTATGCGCTGCACGCGTAACACGAGGCTCGAGCGATCACCAGGAGCCTGGTTCTGCATGACATGCGGGTGCTTCGGAGATTGGCAACTGCGTGGCCTGGCGTGTGATGAGTATGGGAGGACCCCCCCGCCGCGAAGACCTCAACAGGTTGGCGGTGGCCCTGCCGCCGAAGCTTCTCAGCAGGGCCGAGCAGCAGAGCCGCGGCGGCTAATCGTTCTCTCAACGACTGCGTCACATAGCTCGACGCTCGATGCTCCCGCCCGGGGCCTCGCTTCCGACCAGCCACCGGCAAGCCCTGTGAGAACACGGACAGAGTGGACCTCCCGCCCTCCGCGGACTTCGAGCTCTTGCTGAGGCCCCTCGGAGGGCTCCCACCCAGGGGCTCGGATCCGCGCGGCCATTTGGACACTCGGTCCAAGCGCAGGCAGCAGACTTTGATGGGCCCGTTTCCCACCACCACCACCATAAGTCGGAGGGGGAAAGGGGGTGGAGGGTGAAGAGGAGGAGGAAGAAGAAGAGGGGGAAGAGGACCCCCTCCCCCTCCAACTTATGGTGGTGGTGGTGGAAAACAGGCCCATCAGACTTCACACGAGAAACGAGGACCACCGCCACCGAGAAAGCCCCTCGGGGGGCGGCCCTGGGCGGTGGCCCGCCCGAGCGCCTCCCGGTGCTGGACGACACTCGGGCGCGACGCCGCCCGGGGAGCGGCCCCACGGCCGATGTCAAGGGCGCCCTCGAGGGCGCGAAGTTATTCGCGCTTCGCGGTTCGGCTCCGACTCCTCCTCTTCCTCCTCGTCTCCCCTGGGAGGAGGGCGCGAGAGCGCGAAGTTATTCGCACCTCGCGCTTCGCGCAGCGCGCAGCGCGAAGCTGGGAGCCCTTGGGTGTGGGCTCTCGGCGGTGGTGGCCTCTGCTTCTCAGCCTGGAGGGCGGTGGGCCTCCCGTGCTCCCGCACCGGCGCTGGAGTGCCGGTCGGCTATCCGCACCTCCTCTCGGGGGCACTTCCTCTTGGGGGCCTCTCGGGCATCCGCATTTATTCCTACCAATATTGTTTTTTGTTGTTCTGGGTAGTTATCCACCTTCTCACGCTACCTCTGCTCGTGATCCTACTCCATGCCCCTGACCGTGCCTCTGCTCCGACTCCACTCTTCCTAATGCCTGCTCGTGCTCATACCCGCAGCGATGCTCCGACTCCTGTCTGTTCCCACTGGGCTGGGCTACTCGGGCGCACGGTAAACCAGACTCTGGATCAATATGTTCTTCCCTTTGCCAGGAGCTGGGCTCCACCCATCCTCCTCCCCCCTTCTCGTCACTCCTCTGCTGCTGCGGCTCCACCCATCCTCCTCCCCCCTTCTGCTGCTGCTGCTGCTGCTGCTGCTGCCCCCCTCCTGCTTTTCTCCCTCACTCACCTTCGTGCCTCCACCTCCCCCGTCATCCTTCTCACTTCTCCTCCCCCCCCCTCCCCTCCTGACTCCCTGCCCTGTCCCCTGTCAGGTTCCCCTGATCCTTCCTCGTCCTCATCATCCCTCTGCCTGCCCCCCGTCGTCCTCACTGCTCCCCGTCGGCGCGCGGGCGGCCAAAGTGACACCTCGCCGGACCCACTGAGCCACTCGCGCCCCTCCGTCCTCCTCCTTCATCACGGGCCCACCTCCTCATACGGTAGGTTTGCGTCGCGTCGACGCGGTGGCGGTCCCAGAGAGGGGGTTCGACCAGTATGGAACGATCTAGCGATCTGAAGCCGCCGATCGTTCAAGGTTGCGCGATCCATACGGTGTCAGGGACCAACGCCGAAGTTGTCGCGACACGAACCCGTCGTATTCATCCTCTTCTTGATCGCATTGGCGCCCTCCCCACGGCGCAGCGGCTACAAACCGCCAGATGGGGTCAGGGACTCAGTCAGAGCCGCGACCGTGTAGTCCAGGGAGCGATGTAATGACCCAGATTTCGAAGCGCGCGGGTAGGGGCTGCCCTCCACTCTTCAGCAGTATGCCAGTCCAAGGGCCATCTTAAAAACAGAGACTACAGACATTTGCTTCTTGTTGTGTGCGCCGTCGCCATCGTCGTCGTCGTCGGTCGTCGTCGTCGTTGTCGTCGTCATCGTCGTCGCCGTCGTCGCCATCGTCGGTCGTCGGTCCGTCGTCGTCGTCGTCGTCGTCGTCGTCGGCGTCGGCGTCGGCGTCGGCGTCGGCGTCGGCGTCGGCGGTCGTCGGTCCTCGTCGTCGTTGTGGTCGTCGTCGTCAGCGGCGGCGGCGGCGGCGGTCGTCGGTCGTCGGTCGTCGGTCCGTCGTCGTCGTCGTCGTCGTCGTCGTCGTCGTCGTCGTCGTCGTCGTCGTCGTCGTCGTCGTCGTCGTCGTCGTCGTCTGTAGTCGGTCGTCGGTCGTCGGTCGTCGGTGTCGTCGGTGTTGTCGTCGTCGTCGTCGGTTTCGTCGTCGTTGTCGCCGTCGTCGTCGTCGTCGCCGCCGCCGCTGTCGTCGTCGTCGCCGTCGTCTGCGGCGGCGGCGGTGTCGGCGGCGGCGGCGTCCTCGTAGCGCTGGTGCTCGGAGGCCGCCCAGCCCGCCCTACAGACGCGGCGGCCGCCCTTCACCGGGCGCGAAGAAGGTACACTTACTTTTCAGCAGGGACTCGGTCGTTCCCTATGCTTGCATGCGTTTTTTTTTATCGCTCTTCATACGTTATGTATGATTGATCGTTCCTTATGCGTTACTCCTTGTAAAAAAAGGACATCGTTCCTTATATATCGTTCTTTATGCGTTACTCCTTGGAAAAAGGGGCTTCGTTCCTTATTTATCGTTCCTTAGGTCAGGCCGATGATTGTAATGGAGGCCCGATTAAGGGGGGTGTGAGTTGACCCTTTTATGACATCGAGGGGCCCGAAAGAGCCCCCCTGTGGGGCCCAAGAGGGGCACGAGAGGTGCACATTGTTTCTGTCGGCAGCGAGCGAGGGGTGCAAGTGAGGAGGAGGAGGAGAAGGCCTTCTCAGAAGGTGGAAGGGCTTCTCAGAAGCCTCCCAGCCTTCTGGGAAGTCTTCTGCTCCTTCGGGGGAGGCGTGGACCACATCTCAGGAGGCCCAGAGGCTTCGAGTTCGCTGGGAAGGCCTCCTCCTTCTCACTTCCCCCCAGGCCCGCCGCCGATTCTGACCCCCCATTCCCAGACCCCCGACGTCATAGTTTTTCCATCGCGTCGACCCTCAGAAGTCTCGACCCATCCCCCAGGAGGAGGAGGATGAGGAGGAGGAGGAGGAGGAGGGACCGGTGTCTCATCCAGAGTGGCTTTTTGACGGCTCCGAGGGTCGGTAAAGGGCCTCCGGAGACCGACAAATACGGAGCAGCCAACCGTCGTGATTCTTTTTTTGCCCGAGGTGGTCGGGGTATATGGCTCTGGGCGTGGTTTTTCGCGCTGGTGCATTTTTATTGGCACCGTTGGATCATCGGGCCCTCGCTGGGCCCTCGCGGGGGAGAGGTGTGGTCTCCAGCTGCCACTCAGAGCCTGCTCTGCGGCAGGCGGCCCCCTTCTCCCCATGCGACGTCTTGATTTCTGCAACCTAAAGATCTGTTGTTGTTGCTCA